ATTATATAATATTATGCGAATGTAACAAAGGAACTCAGAAAGGTATATAATTATTCTTTAAATATTCTCTAAGGATATCAACAAAAATGTAGTCTACGGATCTACTTTATTGTGTGAATGTAATTATATCGACCGAGCCGTACAAGTAAAGATAGCAGTCACGTTTTGTCGTCAGTCATGGACAGTTGGAAAGTTGTGGATGCAATTAATGCGTCTATTATTAGATTAGGGTCGCAGTTGATAAGCGGGCCACGCGATCCGTCAATCGATTGCGCCCTTCCCCTCATACTCTCTCCACCGCCTCTAGTCTTTTTTATATGCTTGTTTTATTATCTCACGTTTTATGAGTATTCAATTCAAATATTTTATTTCGGTATAATTCATTCACATTGGTTAGTAAATAACAAAGAAAAATTTACACACTAAGGTCAATAATAAATATGTACTAGATTTAGGATACCTATGAAGTTTAATCCAGTGTTCAAGGAATTATCCTGGACTTTGCTAGCTATGATACGCGTGATGCTGTTACTGCTGCCACGCAGTCTGCACATCAAGGATGCCGCTCTCTTTCTTATGATGGCGGCAAACCTACATGTTCACAAAGCTGCATGTGAACATTCCCGACGCGCTACAGAATTGCGGAAACCACAATAGCATCCTGATTATATTGTTATAGGCACACGATTCTTAGAGAGCTGATTGTTTTCTGTGTGCAACCCCTATGCTGCATTAGTTTTATCAAAAGATTATTATCATTCATACAAACAGAGAAATTAATAGCAAGTTATATGTTATGTATATTAAAAATTAATCTTAAATAGGAACAACAAATATTTCTCACAATCGCTTTGTAAACATATCAATGTTACTGAAATTGATCTCAATAATGTTTCCTTTTTAATTTGTATGTGAAAGTGAATTTATTTATGTTTAATATGGAACCATATTGTATAATTAAAGAAGTAATTTGGTTCCGAAGATATATAAATATGCAACGACCGTAAGCCGTGGATGTCTAATAACCCGTGACTGTCTAAAGGTTTAACTTACTTCTCTCAAGCAAAGGCCGTGGGTTCGAATCCGGGCGAACCTCTTGAGTTTTTTGGAATTTAGGTATGAGCGAAATTTATTTTGAAATGCCCTCGCCTGAAAGGAGACCCATGCCCGGAATGGGACGTATAGATGAGTTGATGATGATGAACGATTTTAATAGGAATTAAATTCGGGAAAATTGTTATTGGTTATAGACAAAAAAAAATTATTTTCCGTAAAGATAAGAGAAAAAGTAGCTATCGCAAGAGCGTTGTGTGTGATGGAAAACATTGATTACATGTCGCCGGCAGGGAGAGGAGCTTCTTCGTGCAGTATAATGTGTCAAACAGACTGTATCAATGTAAACCGTCTATTCCGAATCCGATACTGAAAAGGAATAAAAAAGATCACTATTTCTATCATTTGCTACACGCTGTTCCTTTGTTAGTTTCCCATATCTACACTTTCTCTGGGATATCGTATGTATTAATAGAAATGAGGGTAGGAGTTGTTTAAATTTAAGAGCAAATATATTAAGTGACTTATCGTTCATCTTTGGTTTTTATTGTTGTAGTTTAAAATTAATTAATTCACATTCACATTACTAATGACCAAAAATATGTTAAATTTTTCATACGCTAAAAATAATACTTTCACCTCACTAGGTCGGAAAGGCTTCCTTTCTCATTAGAAATCTGCGCGCAAAAGCGTTTTTTGCACGCTAGCGTGGAAAAGGTTTTTGAAATTCGAACTTGATGATGGACTGTGGTGCACCCTTAGAGGATGGAAGGTGCATCTAACTTTTTCTTTTGATGAAAAAAAAGATAATGGCACGTCCAATTAAGCTATTTCTTGTATATTTACATTACTTATTTAATGTAACATAAATCCGTTGGTATATTTTATTATCATTATTGTTCACAATAAGTTGACAATGATAACTAATTGTGTTTATTAGATTATTTTAATTCGTCGAAGAACTAAAATAACTTGAATAATCACAAAATAAAAGTACAAGCAAGAATAAAAATTTATGAGGTATAAACTCAGACGCATCATATAAACAAGATAAACTTTTTCTTTTCATTAAAAAAGGTTTTTATAGTTCTACTGTTTTTCTTTCATCTACCATTTCCCTCGCCATAGTGAGGTGGAAAGTTGTAAGTTTCGCTCGGCAGCAAAGTTGTTTTGCGTCTAAAGCCTTAAAACCTTCGCTACGCTCATGAAGCTATATCAATCTATATCAACTTAATCTTAGCTTTCTTACCTTGCTCAGGTTTCAATACAAGCACTCGCGGCAAACTACAATTTTGCAGCCTTACATAACAAATAACTATTGCGCATTGCATCTCAACAGTCCCTGTATAATGTTATAGAAATATATCAATGTAAAAAAGTACATTATAAAACAAACTCTACTACAATCTATAGTAAAGGACACTCTTTATTTATATAGTCTGTTTAAATGTAAAACCACATAAGTAACATTTTCCACAAAAAGTTTTTAATTTTTATAGCTATGGTAAGAAAATCACTGTCTTTCTGCATGTGAATCTCAATAACAAAAGAGCTATAAACTTAATAAGAGTTTATCTGCAGAAAGATGGTGAATTATTTACAATTGGTACATACATAATTTGGAGATTTAGTGGAAAATGTCACTTATGTGGTTTTACTTTTAAGCAGACGCTATATTACGTTGGATTTATAATAGAAATGTTTGTAAGTATAATAAAAATGTTACATTTTAACATGTATTAAAATGAAAATCGGAACATTCAATGAGAGACGGGACAATGTTCATAATCTGAATATACCCGTTGGGGCAGTTAGGCAGAGAGCGCCCAGGGGACTTATAAACCATATTGTATCCAGTATCCACGGCAAAACATAATCCACTGTACAAACTGATACATCTGAATATTGCAAATTTATACACTTTGTGAACAACGGAAGATTTCATTTTTCACAGAGAATGTTGAGTTTATATAGGCTTAAGACCCTCCGTCCATTCGCAGCTAGGGGACCGGCCCCTGTCGCATCGATCACCCATGTATCGCCTCCACCTTTTAATGATCAACCATTCCGCCTACCAGGTGGACAATGGACTATACTACTCTGTTGATAAGCCACAGTCACGCGATGTAAAACGCTTTTCTAGAGCAGTAAATTCGATTAAGATTAGCTGCTAATGTCGTTGTTTTCTTGAGTATTTTTAAATTATTCAGATTGGAAATGAAGGTATCCAACAACAGAGATTGTTCCAAAATTATTGTAATGTACTTAGGTATGTTTGTTTTTCTATTTAGAGTAGCTGTGACCGCGATTTCATACGCGTAAACACGTATCACGTACGTGTCTTACCACCTAAACTATGCGACTAAATAAATGTTGAAAGGGAAAATGTTCACAAAATTCTTTTCTCACGCCAAAATGATTCTTTTTAATAGGGATTTAATTATACCTAACAAGTGCACTTAAAGATAACCTTATAATTTTAAATAATACATATTGTGCCTGTGATATGACAGCTATATCGTGTCGTTACTTTATGTAGATCTGCGATGACTAATATATTTGTGCTACAGTATTTTCACGTACATACATAATAAAATATAGTAGCAGTAGAGCTCCTTGTGCAAAGTTCGTCCAGGGAAGTACCTTACTTATTTCTGCCGCCAAGCAGGAATGTGAGCATTACTGCGTTCTGGTTTTGAAGGGTAAGAGTGCTGGTAAAATTGCAGGCACATGGGACTTTTCAACTTATTTCTCTGGGTGACGGGCGCAGTGGCAGTGCCTCGCAGAAGTTTGAGATTTAAAGCTCTGAGTGGCATTGCAACTGTTATGGACAGGCGTGTCGTTTACCATCAGTAGCACGACTTGTTCGTCCCGTCTCTCTAAACTCGGTTAGGTTAGAATGCGCACAAAGCGCACTGTAAAATTGACATACAGACCTTTTTATTTCTCAATAGATTTAAATGAAACCAGTACTGAATATTAATCCAAGCTTACATTACTGTAAATCGCATTCAAATGGGTTACGTTGCTTAACCCATTATGGAGATTTCGTGTGTAATACACACACTAACATATACCTAAACAAAAGCCAAACAAAAATTACAATTTTTTTTGTCTTTTGTACCTTCCACTTTCACTTATACTTTAAAGTATTAATTAATAGAAGTACAAACTCGGTTTCTTTACGATTTACATACATACCCACTTATACGTATGGATAACTGACAATGCAGTATATTATTAGTACCTAAATATTTATAGCTAAGGTTCCATGTCTAGTGTTGATAAAAATGTAAGTTGTCAATAATATTATTGGTCTTGGAAGTATCGATTAGTTTACAGCAATAGTACAGATACATCGAATGTAGGTGAAAGTACTTAACTACATGTTAAGTCGGAGGCTCACGCCGTATTTTTCACGTCGGAAATTGTTACTTCACGGATCTGAGCGTCGAAGGCTGCTAACATTTGCTTGAAACTTTCGCTTAAGCTTATCGACGCGTTCTATTTTAACGTAAGCGGTGGTTAGCACGCTAACTGTACTTCTACAATTATTAAATGCGATCGTTATAGACCGGGATGAATTTATTAGGTGGTACGGGCAGGGGAAAGTCAAGGTCGGAGCGAAATACTGCTCTCTGCCCTCCGCTGATAAGATTACTATGTCCTTCGACCGTCAAACTGTCTATTGAAATAATGAGTTTACCTCGCAGACTCCACTTTTGGGAATTAGAAGCAGAAATGGAGTTAGGCAGTTTTTTATATATAGGCAGTAATTTAATAATTACTATTGGGCTGATGTGTTCTCTTCAATCTGGCATAATCTACAGTTTACAAATAGATTATTCATGTTGTGAACTTCTAACACGATATTACCTAATTAGCTTAAGGTTTGTTCATTTAAGCCCAGTGTTTGGACTTAATTTCATTTACCTTATTGTTCCCAGGTGGTGGAAGTTTGTGGCTACCCTTGTGGTGATGAGGCGTCGGCGCGAGGCGCCATGAGCTAGCGGGCATGGGGGGCGAGGGGGCGGGCCGCGGCGCCGCGCGCTGGCACGTGGGCGACTCGCCCCCGCGCGCGCCCATGGGCTTCGCGGCGCCCGCGCAGGATGCGCCGCTCGACAGCGGCCTGGCGCCGGCGCCCGCGCCCGCGTTGCCTTACAACGCGGCGCTGCAGCGGGCGCACTCCAGGTAACAAAGGGCCCTACTTATCCCGTATGTTGTCTTTTCTAGAGGCTAGCTTCATGTTTCATGCCAGGTGGCTTAGCTAGCTTAGCCATCAATTCTCCTTCTTCGTCCTGGTTTCAGTATATACGAGCTTAACAAAACGTAAAGCTAGAATTCCCTATGATATACTACAACACAAATAAAGTACATGATGTTAAAACTTTAAAAACAAAGTCAACCAACTTAAATAACAATGGGGGGGGGGTCCCCATTATCTCGACGGTATACCATACCAAACAAAAAAATAATTTTCTAAATCGGTCCACAATTGACGGAGAAATCGATTAATATACTGTACTACATGCTTATAAAATTAGAGTATATCCCTCACGGATTTCTGACTTGGTGACATTGAGACCACCTAGAGAGTGCACTCTTTCAAACAAAAAAGAATTTTGAAAATCGGTCCACAATTCACGGAGAAATCGGTGAACATATGCAAAACACATATCTTTTTTTGAAGTCATTTCAGTTTGAAGTCAATTTGTCAAGTCGGTTAATAAAAATGTCATAAGATGTGTTATGTGCTGTTATATTTTCAGGTCGATGTCATCGCTCCCACCGGAGCCGTTCATGATGCTGCGTGCGAAGGCGCTGAGCAAACGCGTGATCATCAACGTGGGCGGTGTGCGTCACGAAGTGCTGTGGCGCACGCTAGAGCGGCTGCCGCACACGCGTCTCGGTCGTCTGCGCGACTGCAACACGCACGAGGCCATTACAGAACTCTGCGACGACTACTCATTACAGGACAATGAGTACTTTTTCGACAGGTACATCCATTCCTTAGTGTGGTGAGGTGGGGTATGATTTTAGGCATGATCCTCCAAGATCGCACGTTGTTATGCTATTCTGCTGATACAACTTAACGGACTAATTGTTCAGCGAAAAACAGCTCGCGGCTGATTCCTACAATGACGACACCAATTTAATTGAAAAGTAAATTAACAAAATAGAAGAATTCAAGGGAGAAAGATCCCAAAAATACCTACGCGTTTCGTGACCTTTCTCCAGACCTTTTGAATTTTTCAATAAGATCAAATAAAATTATTGTAACGATGTGGCTAGTAGTTACATAGCTATGTATGTGTCATACAAACTTTATATTTTTCCACAGACATCCAAAAAGTTTCAGCTCAATCCTAAACTTCTATCGGACGGGGAAGTTGCATTTAGTAGACGAGATGTGCGTGCTAGCGTTCAGTGATGATCTCGAGTACTGGGGCGTTGACGAATTGTATTTGGAATCGTGCTGCCAACATAAATACCACCAGAGAAAAGAACACGTTCACGAAGAGATGAGAAAAGAAGCCGAGAGCTTAAGGCAAAGAGAAGAGGAGGAGTTTGGTCAGGGCACTTGTGCTCAGTACCAGAAGTGGCTTTGGGATCTTCTCGAGAAGCCTACCACCAGTATCGCGGCTAGGGTAACGTATTATCTTGTACATAAAAAAAATTGTACGATGATTTATTACTAATTATGCCACTCTAGCAAAGCAGCCAGGACATAAGTATATATTAAAGCAAAGGTATACAATACCCTGTTTCCGAGTACGATTAATTAGAAGCTTTTGTCGATTGTGAGCAATATGGCAGATGACAATAACAACACGTGCACAAATATTTCGTTAAGTATGTAGTACCTACATTTAAATCAGGGCCTTATTTTTCGCTTATTTTTCTTGGCGACCGCCAAATCGTCGTGTCCCTATGCCCGAGATTTATTTGCCGATATATATAATTATATAGGTTTAATCAGGCCCTGATTTACAATGTAAATAGTAGATTACCTTGTATTTTAAGCTACACTTCTATCAAATATTTGTAGGTACATTATACACTATCACTTGCCTTAGTTACTTATACTCTTCGTTATTGTTTTATTTTACATATCTATCTGTTTATACAGTAGTATATAGGTAACTATCCAACTTAAGCACATGAACAAAGAGTACGTTGAAATAAGACTTGTACATATGTTACTTAACAGGCCCGGCGACAGCATTGTTGGGGCCCGCTGGTTTCCCGTGACCTCCTGGTCCCAAGTTCTAAGGCTGGTAGCGGTAGGCTACTACGTCTACTACTTATAGAGTGTCGCGTACCTATACATCGTAGAGTCGTACCTACATCCATATATGTGAATAGAGATACCGACAACATGTAGGTATAATGTTCCATGCCTCCCGGAAGTCCAGATTCTGATGCAGCGGTAGCTTTAGTGCCCCTATGTGACGCCGGGCCTGCTTTGTTTTTTACTTGTATGTGTGTAAAATAGTAGCTATAGGTGTAGGCTTTGTACACGTATGACCCGTTGTGTGATGTATCTGTGGTGCATGAATAACATCTATCACTGCTCCTAACTCGATGTTGTTTGCCTTGGTGTTATGGATTGTGGTGTTGTGTTCTACATGTTGTCTCGTGACCATGTTATGTTATCGCTTTTGTCGAAACTTGTTATTGTTTGTTCTATAGGATGCCTTTTATCGTATAATTACTATAATCATTTTCAACTATTTTTGAAATACGTATGTATTTCGACAACAGCGGTGCAGCTAAGTGTTGTAAGTATACATTCATGTGTTGTCCGTATCTGTACATTTATGGCTTCTATAGTTCAACTATATCACTATTTTAACTCTAATTACTCTATTTCTTCTGTCCATATCTATTTAAATAATGTACCTACACGTTTTCATAAACTAACTAAATTATATATGTCAATATTTTATTTACTTATTTAACCGTTATTTTTATAAGTTACTTGACACATTTTTTATTTTCGACGAATATGCTTAGGTATTTTCATTTAATTTTGTTCATTATGTTTTATTTATTTTTATTGTTATGGTTTTCTAGTTTCTTATAAAATATAAAACAGATGACGATATTATTTTGTATCTACCGTACATATAGTACCTATATATATTTAAAAATATTTAACATTTTACTCGAAAACTTTCATTAGCTCATGTAAGTAATAGAAAATATAAACATCTTCAAAATGTGTGCAGATTGTGTGTGACAATTTGAAATTATCAGATCTGTGACTGAATTCCATAATACTACATAGCATTGTATAATATCTAAGTTGTACGGGACAGTGGCAAAGTTTTATTTTACTATTAATCTTTATAAATGTTCACAGCCGCGTCGATCGTTCTCCAAATGGGGAACTTTACGAAACAAAGCTTAATTGTTGTCGCAAAATTGCAAAGATGGGATGGGCTTACGCAATGTGACCAGCCGCTGCCGACGGCGCTCGCAGTCAGCGTGTGTGGTGGCACGGGACGGCATCCGCGCCCTCCAGACATGTGTCCGCAGTGCGCGCGCCGCGCCCGCGCCGCCTCCCACTACGGCTGAGCGTCGCCCGCTGGCTACCCTCACCCACCCTTCCGCAGCCCGTCCCTTCCTTTCCTCTCATCCGTAGCGTCCATGCCCTTCCTTTCATGCCCCACCAGCGCTTCCGCTTCGTGATACTGATCCGACTAACCGAGCGACGCGGGTGATGGACGGACGCGCGTGCGCTTCACTCCTTTACATATCTATACCCTTCTCGCGCCTCTACGCACGTCCGTTCACCCGATTGTAATTTAATTAACCTGTCTACACTTTGACCACACAACACTACTAACAAACACGAATAGATGTTATTTTTACACCTAAATTAATATTAAGACTTTAAATACATAAGATATTGGCTTCATACCTACTGTATATACATACCTACCTCTTACTACATAATATACTTACATCAACTATATAATCGTAGCTTACCATTGTACAAATACTTAGGAAGAGTAGCTGTGTACAAACACCGCATACTACATACTGACACGTGTGGCAATATGTGTAGCGTCGCACCTCGCGACGAGTAGAGCGCGCGGTGCTAGTACTTGGTAGAGCTGGCGAGTGGACCGACTAACTGCCATAGTCGTTCTTTCGCCGCGCGCTCACTCGGTGCGTACTTACAGGTGATCGCGGTGATATCGATCCTCTTCATCGTGCTGTCCACAATAGGACTTACTCTCAACACCATACCGCAAATGCAAATGTACGACGAGGATACGAAGGCGCCTATTGACAACCCGCAGCTGGCCATGATTGAAGCCGTGTGCATCACTTGGTTTACACTCGAGTATGTGCTGCGATTCAGTGCCTCGCCGGATAAGTGGAAGTTCTTCAAGGGCGGACTTAATGTGATAGACTTACTGGCGATACTGCCGTATTTCGTTTCCCTCTTCCTGCTTGAAACGAATAAAAACGCCACGGATCAGTTTCAAGATGTGCGTCGTGTCGTACAAATCTTCCGTATAATGCGAATATTGCGCATTCTCAAACTCGCCCGCCATTCAACAGGGCTGCAGTCGCTCGGCTTCACGCTTAGAAACTCTTACAAAGAGCTCGGATTGCTCATGTTATTCCTTGCAATGGGAGTGCTCATTTTCTCCTCCCTAGCGTACTTCGCCGAAAAGGAAGAACCGGGAACAAAATTCATATCCATTCCGGAAACGTTCTGGTGGGCTGGCATCACCATGACCACAGTCGGATACGGTGACATTTACCCCACGACCCCGTTGGGCAAGGTCATCGGCTCAGTTTGCTGTATTTGCGGCGTGTTGGTAATTGCGTTACCCATCCCAATTATCGTCAACAATTTCGCCGAGTTTTACAAGAACCAGATGCGGCGCGAGAAGGCTCTCAAGCGACGGGAGGCGCTGGAGCGAGCCAAACGCGAGGGCTCTATCGTCTCCTTCCATCACATCAATCTGCGCGACGCGTTCGCTAAGAGCATGGACCTCATCGACGTCATTGTCGACACAGGTCAGTAGTGTGCCTCCCTTCGCTTAGTGCTTCTTTCATGTCATGTGTTCTCCGCTCTTACTTGTTCTTGTATTGAGTGAATGTGTATTGTGACTGTCGTCCGTTTCACTAATTAAGCACGCATGCCTCCATGCTCATTTTGCATCGTGTTTATGAACGCAATGATTGTGGAATGAACGCATGTGCCAACGTTGCGCTCCCCGGACTTGCAGACATCTTCAAATCAGAGCAGTTCACGTTACATCGCAGCTACCGCTATGTTCACCAGATGGCTACGATGAGGCGCACTCAGAGTGTTTTATTCCTTGTCTTCAGGTGACAAGTGCGTCCTCATTGAGGCGAGAGACGACGCCAGATGAGCTACTTGCCACTATCGCACAGGCGTCACCTCGACCCCTTAGTTTAAGTCCGTATCTCGGGGTCGGGCTTACGTCACCACTCGCGTGTAGCTTGCGATGTGCGACGAAGACACTATAATCTAAGGTCGTTACATTGTCAGCGTAAGCCTAACGCTTCTAGAACTAACCTTTTCTTCTGTGGACTGTCCGATGTGTGTATCCGGAGGACGCTGGATCTCATATGACTATTCGTGTGGAATGTGTGTTGTGTAGTTTACGCCGCTACTAAATGTTGTTGCCATATATTATGTAATCTAGTTCGTTTTATTATGCCAACGTACCTACACAAGCAACTACAAAAGCTATCACAAGCAACCGACTTTAATGGGAATTTGACGGTGGGTATAATTGAGAACGTTGCTACTTACTGGTATGTGTCTTCAGGACACAACATGTCGCAAGCGGACGCGACTAGCTTGGAGGGTGAGGCGCCAGCTATCACCGGCTGCTACAAACAGTACGAACATGCCATCACCAATAAGACTCCGCAGAGTACTGACCCCAGCCAGGTAAGAGCCATCACGCAACTTTGGGTGCGTCCACTGTGTTTATTGGTGAACGATCTGACAGTATGACCAAGTCACTATTTAATTCAATATTTAGGTTTACTGCAGTATGCACAATTACGTTCGCTTATGCGGCGGTCGAAGCCACATTAATAAGTTTACAATGGCTGCCGATTTATTCACAAAATATTTTTATTTCCAACTGACTTTCTGTCATCTATTAACACCGAGTATGATTTGGACGCACCTTTCATTAAATATTTATATGCACTTGGTTTACTGCTGACACAATAGGTTGCAGTTTCAGAGCAGCCCTAAGAAAGAACGGCGGTACTCGACAGAGGGCCCTGACACGCCGGAGAAACGTTTGCTAATAAATCCTGACCCAACACCAGTAAGATTAATACTATTACTGCTAAACTATTGCCGTATCGACGTATTATTACGTTATGCTGTTTGCCTGTATGTACACTTGGAGTTGCACTGTAAAATATTAATAGAGACGAAACTACACGAACTACGTTATGATGAATTGCAATCATTGGCCATGAGTTCCGTGGAGAGTCGTATCTAGACCCTAATCTTTTTAAAACATATGCACATCTATGTAATTTATGTAGTAGAAAGAAAGAGAGCCATGTCTAACTCCACCACGTGGCATCGTCGATGGGGTAGCCATAGTTGCTTTTCATAACGCATCCTTAAGAGTCAACGCAACCACTAATCATTTCTCTTTTCTAGGAAAAGAAGACGGTTGAAAAACAGCTTGACTTGGATCAGCTGCCTTCTGAGTTTGAATGTTGTTTTTGCACGTTCAAGGTACTAAGATACTAACGTTAATCAAACAATAAGAACTACTTACATTAACAATATAACATGTACTTATTTAATCTTTCATTGAAAGTAAACTTGCCATGGTTGTATACTTTATTGACAAATGTTAAATTTCATTCTTATTAATCTCTAATTAACGAAAACATATTACACCGCTTTGTGATTATTAATCTGCATTAATGTTATCAAGGATTTTTTTAGTTACTTCATGATATCTATGGTATGTATGACTTTGTCTTCTAGAACATTTACTTGAGTTTACTAAGTATTGTCAAGTCAAGTACTTCGTGTAGTTAAAAAGGGATGTTCAAAAATACTGCTTTCTAGTTAACAAAAAATATTTTTCCAAACATATAAAAATTGTTATAAAGTAAGGAAACAATCGGGATCAAAACAATTAGAGTGCAAATAAAAGCAAGTCATAAAATGCATATTAAATACCTGTATGTTGGTATAGGGTTACAAGGAGTTCATAGACGCAGAGCAACTGATGCCGATGTCGACATCGGACTTGCGGCAGCCAGTGTGCGTGGAGCTGGCCTGCCTGCAGCGGCACCCCGCACCCAAGGCGCTACCCGAGGCCACCCCTAACAGTCTCGACAGTCCCGGTAACCACTTTGTGCTTTTCTAAACACGAGCAAATGCAAACAACCTCATACCACATACAATCGAGTTTTTTCTTTAACAAGTTAAGCACCACGTATTCAGAATTTAAACATTGAATGATATTTTGTTTGACTGAACTTAAACACAATTCATCAACACTCGATTTCAGGCTTGTTTATATTTGTTCGACAAAAATTATAAACTCTATCGCTATGGGCTCTCACTGTTGAATAGGGCAGAGTTCAATCCTATAGAATTGTCCCCTGTAATATTGTGATCGTGTTAATGAAACTGATTTTCTTAATTTTTCATTCACTAGGTACATATTGTCTTTATTCACTCTATTTTATATTTTAGCACCCGTTTCGTCCGCGTGGCACACTCACTACACACGCCCCAGTTTTGCGCGACTCCATTCCCGTGTTATGTCTTACGTTGCAGATACATTTGCATCATGCCTTACGCACCCTTTTCCTTCAGAGGGCGACATCGCATGCGAGATCGACTCATCAAACTTGTATGTGAATCCTCTGGATGGTAGCGGCGGTGGCGGAAGCGAGGGCAGCGCGGGCGCGACCACAGCGGGGGCAGGGGGAGGGGTGTCAGACTATAGCGGGGTGCGTAAGAGCGCGTCTGGGGACGGGAGCGTGTTGTGCGGCAAGGGTTCACAGGGGGAGGTCGAGCGTGGCTCGCGGGTCAGCTTAGCGGGTGCGGGCGCCGCCAGCGCTATACTGCCTGCTACGCAAGTGCGAGCGCTCGACGCCTCGCGCACCAGTCTGCCGCAAACACTGGACAACGCGCTCCCGCCTACTTCTGATGACGCCAGGCCCAAACATAGAAAAGCGCGCTTCCAACAGGTATGTTTTCTGGCTGCACAAATTGACTCGATACTGCTGTTAAAAAACCGTGTTGAAAGATTTCAGTTTAATAAAAAAGAACCGTATTCACTAATAACATTAATGATCTTTCCCGATTAGCACTTTTCTGGTCAATTTGGCAAGTAGCGAAAAAAGCACCAGGCACATTAATGTCGTCATTTGGTAAATTCACGTTCAATGTTGCATGTTATATGTTATGGTGAAGTGGTCGCGTAGGCGAGTATGTTTCCCCGTATACTCATGACAAGTGTTTGCAGAGTTTAAACGGTTTGAATAGGATCCGTGAAAAAAAAATGGTGATGTTTTGCAGGAGTGGTCGGAGGAGGAAAAGAGACCTCCCAGGGGGATAGCAACGAGGATCATCAACCACCACATACTCTTCGGTAAGAAAATACACAAGAAGTAACACTATGTCCAACTAAAAAAGAAGCATAGAATTCTATTGTTGAAATCGTTTGTATTATAGGTAAAAACGGCAATAAACGCGGCGGCGGCGGCTGGCCGGTCGAGGGTGACTCGCGATCTCGGTCCATTCTCAAGAACAAGGAAGCACGCGGCACTGATAGCGAGCTGCTGCTGCAAGAGACCACATCTCTCGGCGCCAACGTAAGTTTTAAACTAAATAGTAACGTGTTTGCGTAGACTTTGGAGCGTATGAAGTAGAGACAAAGAAATTCATCGCACGCAATTTTTTGCCTTTTAGAAATAAAATATACTTTTACTTTAAAATAAGCTCATTCTATAGTGCGCGCGGAACTAGCTGGCCGCGCCTTAGGTAGGGACAGGGGTGAGGGGGCGGGTTGCTTGCTGCTCGCAACGCACATGAGATTAGACAGTGACGACCAATCTCGAGATATCGTGAACAATAATTGTTCAGTTATTGAAAAGAAAAAATTAAAGCCAATTGAACTTTTACAAGTTTATATTATACCTATCTAATTAATTGCAATGTACAGTCGGCAGCACATCAGGCCGCCACAAACTGTCAGATTTCCTCAATTGATTTTCAACTTAAAGTCCAGGGAATAGAGTATAAAATTGATTGGATAAATTTGACATTTATGTATTGATGGACTTGCTGTTGTCCGTACATTGCAATTAAAAGTAAAATAAACCAAAAACAAATTAAATGAAATTCTTCCGACATATTTGAATCATTTATGAAATTATTATTAATTAATTAGTGTAACTAACACGACTTTGTATTTATAGATATGAAATTACTCTGACATATTATCCTCTGAATCACTTGATTCTGAATTGTCTGAACTTGAGTCAGAATCATCTTGTAAGTTTATAATGAATTCGTCCATCACAGTATCATATCTCATATCATGATTCCAGTATTCTTGTTCGTTTTTTTGTACGTGGTCGTCGCATTTTTGCCATTGTTCGGCAGAAAATTCAGAAAATAGTCTTGTTAGTATTGTAATTTTCTCGTCCAATGTAGCATTAATGTGATCTCTGGCCAGGCAATTTTTTATATTTGCCCACACAAGCTCGATTGGGTTGAGATCTGGATGATATGGAGGTAGTCTTAGAACAGTATGACCTGCACCTTTCAGAAGTTCATCAATCGTGTATATTTTTTCTGATTGGGTCGTATTAATCAAGCCCAAGAGTTCAGCTTTGACCATCGTGGGAGAAAAGGGCACGTTATGATTTTGCAACCAATTCTGCATATTAATTTTCATACAGGACATAGTCGGTTTCTTCTCAACTTGCACACAGTGGTAAGCTGCATTGTCCATAACTATGACTGAGTTAGGTGGAAGTTTAGGTATTAACTTTCGATCAACCCAGTTGTAAAAATTTGTAGAGTTCATGTCTCCATGATAGTCTCTTGTTTTTGAATCTGATTTAAAAATTAGCAGAGCATCGTCAACTAACCCGTTCCGACTACCAGCGTGAACTATTATTAAACGCCTTCCTTTGCCTATATCTGCATAAACACCAGGCTCCGACGAAGATTGCCAACATTTTTGGACATTATGACTTTGGTTAACGTAAGTTTCGTCCAAAAAGAATATATTTCGTTTGTCTTCTCTGAATTTTCTTATGGCCCCCAAATATTTCACTCGCCATTCAACAATGTTTGGTCTCTCTAATAAAAGGGATCTCTTCGATTTACATTTTTTAAATGAATATCCCAGTTTGTGCAAAAGTTCTCTTAAATAAGTTAATCCGCAATCTAAAATATTATCCTCTTTTAACACAGCATTTAGTTTTCGTAGACTTGGATTTGTTTTCTGTACCGTATAAAACTGATTTATTTTTCTTCTTATCACTCCTAAATCAAAATCATCAACTTGTATTTTCTTTTTTATCTCTTTTGGCCTTCGTGGAGAACTAAATTTTGCTTCCCCTGTATTTTGCAAGGATGTTTTACTTTGAGCAATCACTCTCCTTACACTTCGTTCTGATATCCCGGTTGCTTCTGCCACTAATTTATGAATATTCGCATCAGTTTTATATTCTAAACTATTGACATCGGCTTTCCGTTTTTTAAAAAACGTATGCACTTTAAATATTATTTCCTTAGATTGTCTTTTTATCGGCGGACTCATCTTGACATTGCAATCTCTTGTGCGTTTTGTCTAAACTAGCCAGAACTGTCAACGTGTGTTGCCGCCGCGAAGTCCGGCGCCGAACTGAGTATTCTGAGTAATGACATCAAGTGCCCCCGCCTCCCCGTCCCACCGCTCACATACCTAAGGCGCGGCCAGCTAGTTCCGCGCGCACTATAGTTGATGCATTTATTACAGAATACGGGAGAGAAAATTTCATTGAAATAAAATATCTCTAATAACAATCGATTGCGACTGATTTTCCGTCAGATGAAAGTAGTAGAATATGAAAATTATGCGGAACTTCCCGATTTTTTTACCTAGCGAAATTTAGTAAATCGCGTTTCGGGCCCTAAACAAGTTCTATTCGTATACACCAAAACATTTATTTTGGGTCTGACTTCACAATAAATATCCTGAAAATAGGAATAGTATTGTCTATAATAATAATAACGCATACACGCTCATGGCCCCCGCACTAGGGAAACCCTGAGTCGCGGGTGCCATGGACACACACGTAGACAACCACAAATTACACCCAAACTCACGAGAGAAATAAATGTTAGGCTATACAAATATTTCTCACGGCCCTGGAAGCGAACTCAGGACCTCTGCGTGGCAGTCCAGTATGGTAACCGTTCGGTTACTGAGGCAGTTAAGTGTCTACACTACAACATAATATTTCTAAATGTTGCAGGGCGATTCAGGCAGCGAGTCGTCGCCGATTCGATTAAAAGACTACAAGGGACAGAACCACAAGGGCGGTGCATCAGAGAGAAGCAATTTAGTCACGTAGAGTGTAGTCACTGCCAATCGTTTGCCAGATCGTTACCGCTGCAAGTTGTTTTGTAGCCTGTAGCGATCATTGCGCCTATAGCGGCTCTACACTCGTCTGCCACGCGACCCTATTCGTCAAATACTTAGAACGCAATAACATTATTCAAATTTTTAAATAATTTTAACATATCATTGGGCGATTGTGACTGCTTGTTGAATAGACGATTTTCATTTCGTAGGTTTACAAATATTGTAAAAAAATATTATATATTACATACTTAAATGTAATAATCGTTCATTCCAATCGAAAAGTTGAAGATACCTATTTGTTAAGTTTTTTTACGTGCAATTATTAATTGCTAATTCTATGTTAAGCGATATAGTTTGTACAGCATAGTTGATGAAAAAAGAAAGCAATTATTAAAATTAAAAGATTTTCTGAAATTGTTATGGATGGTTTTATTACCACAACTGTTCGACAATATACTATCATATCATAATACTAACACAAAGTGTTCGTTTAAGTGATGTTTAAACAATAATAGAAATATTAAATAGTAGTCAACAATGATATTTATTTGGAAGCTAAATTCTTTCCATTATTTATAAGTGTAGAAATATAACGTAAATTTACATTTAACATTAGGAACGAATTAGCGTGATAAAAGGTGATCCAAAATATTAACGAATTTACAAACACGGGCTAATACACAATTCAAAGCAAATGTGAACATTGAAAAATTGTTTGCAATACCATAAAATATCACAAATTACTTAATTTCAAATTCACGAACTAGAAACAAACAAATTTAGTGTTCCAAAATAAAAATAATACTTATAGATTAATTAGAAATTTCCTACAACTAACAAATAATTTAACTAATACTTTATATAAAATAACACATGTAGTACAAGTAACATAATGACAAAACATCAATATACTTTGGTTTATAATGAGTAACAATTATGTGCACCACTACAAGTGTATATAGTTAGTGCTCAAAATTAATAACCGGGTTCGAAGTGCCCTAACGAATATTACGTATTAGCAACAAACGGGAGGCAAATCGCGAAAACTCAAACTAAACTAATTTAAGTTCAGTACACACTGCTAGTTCTTGACAGCTCTTCGTAAATATACTGTTACAAATACATGGCGTCTAAAACTATAAAGTAGTCTACAGGCGCCGATTAATGAAACAGTTCTAAGTTCTAAATTATAACATTCTGTCAGCCAGAGATCATCGCGAACTTCAATTAAGTTTAGTATTAGCGTTTGCGTGAAACGAAAATTAAATCTTAATAAAATACATATACATATAAAAAGAAATTTGTTCAGACTACAATGACTTCGTAAGATAAGTGATAAAGTTGAATAAAATATCGTTATTTATCCACTGGCTACATACTTATATCTGAACACACAGGCACCTTACATCTTATAATTCTTGGCAGTAATCATGGCACAATAACCTAACTATAGGCCGTGGTAAAAATTTTGACTGTAGTATTGAACAAGTGACGATGCATACCACGGTGGCCATACAGGGTGCGACAAAAAGATTCCAAAACAAATCACCTGGCGGTTTGTTAGGCGGTACGATAAGAAACAAATTTAGTAAAAATAAATTTATAAATTTCACTGACCACACACTTTCTTATACATGCAATCAAGAAATATCTCAATATTTTTTTAGTCGGAGTTGCTTGTATCATGCATGCTATCATCAGAAATGTAATCGGACTTTTTTGTTGCATCCGATATGTGTTGATATAAGTCAGGTCATATTGGTCTAACCATCCAATAGAATCTTTACGCTTCATGCGCTTAGATCTTATTATTTTTTAAATGTTTATTATGACTTATTAATTATTAATGCGTTTAGATTTATAGAATCACAAAGAGTTGAGTCAATTTCTCCTCTATTCAATACGACTAGTAATGATTCATTTGAACACGCGGTAGTATGTTAGACAACGCTTATAAAAAAAGACAGTGTCTTTGTATTACAGGAACCATATTTTTGCTCATTAATGTCAAAAATTAACATCAAAATTCTTTGAATTCAGTTCTAGTGCAAGTAGTGTCATCTTGGTTATGCTATTTTAAGTATTTGCGTTTGTCTTATTTTCGATACAGCAACAAATTTACCGTGACCCGTACGATATATTTATGTAGCTCTTAATGCCTTTGTTTTGTCTCTTACTTTAATTATACAACACATATTTTCAGCTTGGCCGAATTTAACAAAAACTGCGCTGTACACTGTATGTCACATAATATACAGATGTCAAGTTAATAGTGGATAATATTCAAGGGACAGACTATGCTTGTAATCTAAATAATAAAAGTGCAATATGTCTGTAAATTCGATGGTCAAAATCAAACTATCTGAATGATCCAAAACGATGAGAAATCGATTATTTAGTTTTTTTCAAACTTTCACACTTGAATATTCTCTACTCTTAACCCTGCATATGGTTCAATACAACGATGAACACGAGTTTGTATTACGCTTTTATATACAAGTATCATATCAAAACGCATCTCCATCCTCTTACACAAATTTTATATTACGCTTTTAAACATTAATAATGATTTTTGGGGCACACTCTCTGCTAACTTGCCAAGTTATAAAATTACAAATCATACTTGCATCAGTGGCGTTTCCCTGCCTAAGAAATGACAATATACATTAATTTTAGTTTTAAAGCTTCGAGTATAATAAAAATTATCACAAATAACTTTGTCAGTTTTGTAGCCAATAGCAATGCGAGATGGAAGAATTGCATTGATTAAACAAAAAAAAACTTAAATGTGTTATGACTTAATTGCATTAGTAAAAAATTATATTGTTCGATCTCACATTGCATATGTTCAATTGTCATTGTTAATTGTATAAAAACTTGAAGTTGTGCCACCCTTAAGTGCACGTCGTACTTACAAAAATAAATAAAAAGTAATTCTTACATTCTGTCGCGGTCACTGCACCATTAACTTATGTGGGAATTTCTGAAATCGCAGTAAATGGAGAAACTTTTAGTGGTCTGTTTATGCGTAAAAAATTAAAAACATTTTAAAACTTACGGGGACTTCATAAAGATAACTTAAATACAACGAGTTAGTATCCATGCAAATCAATATGTATTTAAATTAGTGTAAATGAACTTTTAAAAACAACGTATATACTATTTGCAAGACTAAATATTTTTTGAGTATTTAGAATACCCCAAATATGCCAAAATATTATGAATAAATTAATGTACCAAATACACTCTAATACAAATTGATATGTTAATTTGTGATTATAACAAAGAATACTGCCCAAAGTCACAGTCAGAGTAGAGTCAACATTTCGTGTAAATCAATAAAAGGCAAACAACCAAATAAACAGCGGTCATTAGGGGGTCCAAAGCCCGGTCATGGCTAGGCAAAGCATTTAAATTCTTCTGGATATCAGTCTCAGTTAATCAGCAGTTATTATTACATTACAAGGCGAGGATGTCAACTAACTTTGATAAAAGAACACTGGCTGCATTCACCTTGTTCATATCATGACCTCACGCAGTCACCGAGTGCCCGCGGTAGCGGTAACGCGAAATTTTTGATCTGCTGTGACCCGGATCACATCTGAGGTCGATAATGAAATGCCTTTCTTAGCTAATCGAAGCGAGGAACAATCGACTTGACAACTCAGCTTTTGTACGTTCACTTATTCCAAAATTTCACACCCTTTGGTGGTACGGGTGTCCCCCTATGGCGGGTGAAGAAGGTGGGTGAACCGCCTCCTTCGTCTATCCGGCCACCGTCTACGAAGCGGGTCAGCTTGAGGGTAGTCCTCCCTGAGGCGTTCCCAAGTCTCCTCACACCTACCTTAACGTCGTATCGTTTTGATACGAACGACCTCGTATATTACTATTTTCAAGGTGCAAGTTACGGAGTTCGACGAGTTTTACAATAATTGACGATTGCATTATTGACCTACATCATTTGACCTTAAATATAATTTTGTCGCTCATAAGTTTGTTACTGTAATTAAAAATTTGTCCCAAACAGTTTATTATATTGATATTATAACTATTCGGTTAGGCTCCATTTACAACGAAACGGACGCGAATTTTTGTAACGAAATTGTACAGAGTATAATGACCTTTATATCAATTGTTTAACGTACAAACTAGATACGACACGGGAGCTGCGGGAATTCCCGGGATTGCGCAAAAAATATCCGGAAAACGCGCGAACTGTTTGGCTCGTATTTAGTTTGTACGTTACACAATAGACACAAAGTTCATTATGCCATGGTTACAAAATTAATTACCAATCCGTTATTGCCGTGACATTGTATATCTGAAAGTATTGGACGTTTTTCTTGATGACATATTTGTACACGTTGTTAATCGTTTTCAGAACATCGTAATGACACTGAAATAATCGCTTCGTTCTTACTCGTTCCATTGAGTATTCCCACTTATTCCCTGAACGGTATAACTTGGGCCTATTCAAGGCATTATTTAGGTGTGGTTGCTCTATCGTCGACCTCATTGTCACTTTCCATCAGGTAAAATGGAGGTCAAATGCGCACTTATTTTTAATTTAAAAAAGTAGTCTTGTCCTATTATAGAACTACGGGAACATTTTCGACGCTGTTGTTCTCTTAAATTTATTATATTATATTTATTTCAATAATAATAATAGAATCAATGGAACAAATAATTCCCAATATTGGCATAGTTGTACTGTTATCTCCTAAATAATAATCAGTTAACTGGTTTTCAAATGATATTATCCGTAATTTATTTTTTTTTTGTTATCACCATTTAACAATTAAAGATGCAAGGTTAATATTTGAAGTAACGTTTTACCAAGAGATTTTTAATAAATATTATATACACTTGCCTCAGTAAACCTTGCAAGACTCCGAAGCTTGAATTTCAGAAAATCTGTAAAATAATACTGTAATCGATTATTATTGACTCTTCTATGCGGTGACCAATGCCAATTAATTGTCGATGTTAACTGTCATCCGAAAGACAAAACGTCAAAAATGGCGTTATAATCGAGTTCTTAGGTTTTCGCGATTGTAACACATTGGAAATACAACTGTATTTTTTCGGATCTAAATCGTGTATATCTGTTATTTCAAATAAACCAATGTTTCGGGCCCTCCACACACTCTTCCGCCACAGATCCCAAAAAACAAATACACGCAATTTAGATCTGAAAAAAAAAAATATTTTCAGCGGTCATAATCATCATAAACTCGCAAACTTCCTCTCTAAACAGCATAGTATTTAAGACTGACTGATCTGTTTTTTCAGATGCATGTTGAAATTTATAAAGAGACGATTGCAGACGTGTTGTGTACCTTTATATACCTCTGTACCTTTACATAACAAGAATTGTTAATGGCTCCAGGGTCAAGTAGCAATTATTCTTGTCCATTACAATGTTATAGTAAAATGAACGTTATGAACGTTTACTGATTATACAATTTCCTACAGACATTATTTCGACATTGTTTCTTATTTCGCGGTGTTACAGTTTTCCTTTTGGGCTATTTATGGGGAAAGCGTGTTTGTATGACGTCAGTTCCTATGTATAGTGAAATAATAGATAATAAGTAGTGATTTGTTTGTGGTGCCGAATCTCGGGAATGAATTCGGGACCGTTGCAAGCTTATATATATATTGTCAAATAACTAAGTCACATTGCGTCATAAATATTTTTGCATAGATGTTTTATATGGGAACAAGCCAGGTGCTACAAATTACGCTTTTTAAAAAAAAAATTGTTTTGTTACAAATAATTGGAATTTAGGAATTCCAAATGAATAGCTTATTTATTATATATTCGTTATATCATAAATGGTGTATTTTCCGGAAACCACTGACATACAGCTCTGTAAATCTAAAAAGTTTCACTTAATTCCTATTTAATTCCTGATTCTGATTACGAATTCTGGTTTTTTTTCGTGTTAATTACTTATTTCCGCACCAGTGTTACCCTTTTGCCATAGACAAAGGACCTTGTTTCTGACACTCTGACACGAAGCTAGTTTACGACATTCATACGTATATTTCCAGTAGCGGGTTTGTTCTTCTTGAAATATCCGTATGTAATATAAATAATGTACAAACACCGTAATAAAGGAAGATGTCATAGTCTGTAGCCATTAAATATTAAAACTACAGAATGGTACGGGACTACCTGTGCCATGCAATGGTGAGTGCCGTGCGTAGTTTTCGCCACAACCAGGGATAGAGTCCGCCTCCACGTAGCGCCGCTCTAGCGACGTATTTTACGTAGTCGTAAAGACCCCACGGCGCGTGGCCCCCGTTCACATAATACACGTAGGTGAAACCATCCTTACATCTGCCTTTTATTGAATAGTAGTAAGGGAGGAATGAGTGCAGGCGGAACCTGGAAAGAATGAATAAAATATTCTCTGTTATATACTTGACTGAAGTCAGCGAAATCAGTGAACCCCTGGTAACCTGATAGATTTGCCCACCCTCGAGCATAGAGTCGTAGTATATACGTATAGTAGTCGATATTTTAAATTTACCATCAGCTTCTCGATGAAGGCTCATGGTAAGAAAACATCGTGGGGAAATCTGCACACATATGTAAAGCAATTTAATGCGTGTACCCAATTCGTATTGAACTGCAGTCCAAGCCCTCTTATTGTGAGAGGAGGTCTGTGCTCAGTAGTGTATATAGACCAACTATTCTTATTATGATTATATACTTCACTGTTAAAATGTAACAATATACGCAATCCAATTCCGGGCAAATGTATTTCCCAATTTTCTTTTGTTGTCTTCTCTGCCATAAGGGCGCTAGAGCTAAGATAGACATATTGAAATACAGATCCGGCAGCGATCGATGGATCGAATAAAATCTGGATAGAAAACAATCCTAGATTCAGGATCAAATATAAAAACCGGCCGTATATCGAGTTCTTAGGTTTTTCGGTAATTTGTATCAATAACAATTTGCTATTATTATTGACGCAAAAATCGAAAAACAAAGAAAAATGGTTGCTCTTGGTTCTAGCACTACGATAAGCGACGTTTGCAGTTGAAATCTTGACCGCACGCAATTTATAGATATCTATCTATTTTAGACTTTCACCTCTCCCATGATCTAAAAGACTAATTTTGATTGTTTTAATGGGAGAGGCAACATTCCCCCGGTAATGGTACAGACGGCCGGGGTCAGACTGCTTTCTGCATTTCTGTTGGAAACGACACGCCACAGAAATTCAACCGCCTCAACTTGTTAGCGAGACTGACTGGAATTAACATATTATTATTATATTATTTATACAAAACTATTAATAAAGAAACCGCAAATTTATAAAAAACAATAATAATTATCTTGTTATTTAAAAATGCCTCTTTTGCATCCTTGATAGATGGTGCAAATAGAGAAACGGTAACTGTAAGAAAAGCAGACCTTTCTTCTATATAAAGTTTTCTCTATTTTGACAGCAATCTTCAATTAGAGCCGCTAATGTAACTGAGTTCTTTATTTGGAATTCGTACGATACAGACCAAGTTTTGTAGCTCGTATTTTCCCAAAAAATATATGAATATCATTGTAGTACACGTAGTGATATTCAATAAAATAAACACAGAAGCTTGCCAAGCAAATTTTAAAACGATGGGCTGAAATCTGTCTTGTCGGTTTTTACATAAAATTCAGTTAGTACAATATAAACTACATGACAGAAAATTAACCATAATTTCGTAGTTATCGATATGAAAGAGCGTTATCAAATATCTTATCAACAGTTTTCGAGTAGGTTGATAAAAACAATTGGTCGGACATATAGACTCATAATATGTACTATCTATGCCATCGATAATATTGCAAAATAAGGTAGTAAGCATTGTTGCCTTGATAATTCTGAAAACAATGCGAATATTTCATGATTTAATCGCATTTCTGATAACGTTAAACATTCCAAATCAATTAAAACCTGTACAGTAAGTAAAATTTAAGAGCAGAAATTCCTTTTTTAAAAGTATTGTAAATAAGCAACTGACTACATACAGCTCTGAACCATCTCGTATGTACACGAAGACAATTGAACTTAAGGATTGAGTGATCTTTCGCCATGAAACTATTCACCTTTATAAACCAACTTTAAAAAAGGAGGAGATTCTCAATTCGACTGTATGTTTTTTTGTATGTACACGATAACTCGATACGACACGATAATTAGAAAGAGGGCACCTCAGTTGAGGTCTAATACTGAAAAAACCGACCTCTAAAGTTATTTATCTCCTAGTTTGCCACCCTTAGAGGTGGAATACTTTCTTCAAATTTAAATAGGACCAAAATTAATTTAATTAATTAATTTTGGGGACCACAGGTTAATGATTAAGTTTGTTTAGGACCTTTCTTCACACTGAACTACTCGGAACCGGCTGTACTTAAATTCAAACCCAAACTCAAATAAACAACGTTTATTTCATTGGTAAGTAAATTACACTTGAAATCCTCACATTAATTAAACTCTACAACTCATTCGCAAGGTAGAATCCCCTGAGAAGAATGAGCAAGAAACTGGTCGTATATATTTATCATTTACTACTATATTTATTTCAACTATGATAGATCAAGACAACCTTTTATCATCCAAATACGCATAAGCTGTATAATAGTAATAACCTTTAAAGTTTTTATTTGATTATAGTTTTAAACCTCGTAAATGGGAAATTTTGATTAACAACTGGAATGTTATTCTAGAAGTGTATACATTGCCCCGTAAATGAATTTCAATTCTATGCCATTTGCGTTAAGAACAGTCCAAAGTGTAGGTGGATGTGATCTTGACAGTGCATATAAAAAAAGTTTTATCAAATTTGCACGGAAACAATGACGTCATCATGATCGCCGTCAACTCATTTATACGTTTCGCTAAGGAGAGGGTTTAGGCCATCACGACGTCACTTTCAATTAAATAAAAAATGTACTGGAACAAAGTTAGGGCCAACACTTACCTTCTCTGCTCATAGAAGAGTATAGCCTCAGTGTTGGTGGTGAGCACGTGAAGGAATATGGCCTTGACTCGGTGTTCGTGGGGCGGCAGCGGCATCGGCCCCGCCAGGTGATTGATTAGCACGTCTAACAGCATCGTCGCCACGCCTGACCGCCTGTACGCGCGAGTTACGCCTGACAGGAACATATAAAAAAAATTTTTTTCAATAAATATATCTCCGTCAAATGGATGAGAAGTGGTAAACGATGCCATGACATTATAATATTCCAGTTCGTTAACGTACGTTCATGTTACCCATAACTAGGGTTACCATTCCGAAATTTCAAAAAAATAATCCGGACGAAAAGCCTGACATTTTGAAGAAAGTCCGGATTATTAGCAACAAATTTAAAAAAATAAAAAATCTCCTTTTCCCGCGGCAGCAGACAGAGAGTTGAGAAAATTTTTGTTGTAAATCGAATTCTACTTCAGAATTGCGAGGTTTTATAGGTTAAAGGTTTTATGTTGCAATATTTAATTTTTTTATCTTGAAAACACTGACTTTCTACTTTTATCTAAAACATTTATTATCAACGATAAGTCATAGCATTAGAAAAACGTTTCTACGTCAAAAACGAAAATACATACGTAGATACAATTATTTCGCGAGCCCAACTTGTGATGAGCTTATTCTGCACTAATAGTTTGGCTCGAATGTTGTTAACCAAAGCGCGCACAACGCATAATCCCGGTGAGTTTGTCCAACTCCATGACAAATCTAATGAATGAGTAACTATAGTGACAATGCAAATACAAACTGTATTAATAAACAGACTTGTAGTTTACGGACATCATTTTCTTAAATACTGACTATAGGTTTAACTCAATCAGGAAAAAAATTACTTTGAAGTAAAGGAAACGTCGGCGCAAGCTCTCATACAAATCTTTCATTTATGAGCAGTCTGCACACGGCTGGCAACGTTATTTCCACTTCTCTGAGCGCGTGTTTAGGTTCCTTTTTCCTCGTAGTAGTGAGGGCCTAGTGTCATTATTCAGATTTGGTAGGCTATTATAGCGTAGGTATTTTCGATTTTGCATGAGAGTGATGTATCTGTTAGGTAGTAACTATTAAGTAATCTGTGCCAATATACAATTATTCCCTGCATTATGAATGCCAGAGCAACGCAATTCACTCAGGGGTCACCCGGAGCATCCAGACCATAGTCAGATTAGAAAGAAAAAAATCCCAAATTGATCCTACCGGGAATCGCACCCGGGACCTCTTCATCAGCGCCCACAATACAAATCGTTGGGCCACCGAGTTCAACGAGTTGCAACTTTAACTTATTATTGAAAGATACAGAGTGTTTTTTTAAACAGGACAGTATGGGGAAGTCCAAAACCATAGAAGATACAAGGAAACTTTCTTAGGAACCATTAAGTCTTTTTTTATGAAAACAATTTTGGCATAGTCAACTTTTTGGCCAATCCTGAGTTGTTCATAAAATTGATCAAACTTTTTTTTAGTGCTAATCGACTCCGTTTCATTTCATTGTATGGGACGAAAAAATCGGGAGTAACGAAGTTGGTCAAATTTAATAAACAGCGCAGTAAGAACGTACATTCGCAATTACTTTCCGTATAGCCTTTGTATCAATTTACACAATGTTCAATACACCATGCACCATGTAAATTTCAGTAAAATTTTTCTTACTGTGGAAATCAGTCACAGATTCTTATACTGCTTTCAGGCCCTTGGTTTGAATATAAAGATAATGTAGTAGCAGTAGAGCTCCTTGTAGAAGAGTTCGTCCAGGGAAGTACTGTCACCTTACCTATTTCTGCTGCCCAACGGTAGTATGAGCATTATTGCATTCCGGTTTGAAGGGTAAGGGTGCTGGTGAAATTACAGGCATTATGTCAGTGTGACGGGCTTAGTGGCAGTGCCCCTCAGACCTTTTGCAATTGAAAACACTGAGTGGAGCTGTAACAGCTATGGACATAGGCTTACAACCAGATATACGACTTGTTTGTCCTGTCACTTGGTATATCACAAAAAAGTAGTTTTACGACCTCGATGGCCCAAGTTTGCACTATGAGAGTTGAAACTATGTGGTTCTGGGTCAGATTCAACTTAAAATTAATTTTGCTAATGATTTTTTTCTAAAATAGCTCTGGTCTGGTCTGGGTGTTCTGGGTAGTGCCCCGGAGTGAATTGTGTTGGTACTCGTAGTACAGGGAATTCCCTAGTTTGAGACCAGGTAATTAGAGTGGTTGTCTGGCACAATTTTAATATTATAATTACATTAAAAGACTACAAAGAAAAATTTAAAAAAAAATTGTGATCTTTACCAATTAAACATTTGCTGATGTGGTTCTCACATAATGTTTTAAAGGTATCCATGCATAATTTCTGAGAAAATTTCAGAATTTTGCTATGGGCATGTGACTGTACAAGAATGTAACTTACCTAAAGAGAGTATATATGCTACAAGAGTGTCCTTTGATGCAAACCATCCTGATAGTATTCCTCTGTCTTCAGCGTTTAGTTTTAAGTAGGGTTTAATCTCAGCTACAATAAGACCTATGATCTGTGTTTTGTACACAGCTGCCAGGGCAAAAAATCTGTTAGATGATGTGATGTCTTCATACCACGATTGTGGATATTCTATTGGGAACCAATCTCTGCATAAAGATTTCACCTAAAACATTTTACAATCTATGAAACAACAATTGCAAGTGTAATTTGTTTACATAGTCAGGAAATAAAAACATATGGAGTTTGAATTTCAGTTAAGACTATGTATTATAGTGATATCACAACATATCAAATCTTTTTTGCATTCCAGTTAATATGCACAAGTACACAACAATCTTAGATATTGACAATATTTTATTACATGAAATCTAGTTATTTTAGTTACATTTATCAGCATTTAATAATAACGATTCTTTTTAATGCATACAAACCGGTAAGCAGAGTTTTTAACTTTCATTACCTCTTCCAGGTCATCAGGGCACAAAAAACGCAACTGTATATCTTTTAGAGAGCATTTTGATTCTTTTGACTTCTCTACAATCACCTGGAAGCCTTCAGATAGATACCTGCAAACAATAAGTTGCTTGTGTCATTAGAAGTTCCACATATTAAGCACAGTGCAGTTTCTATACGAGTTTCATTATCAGCGTATTTGATATTGCTGTAAAATTTCTAATATTTAGTAAGATATTTTTCTGGTTGAATTACTGGTTTGCAAAACCGTATAAGATGGAACCTTGAAAAACACCTACCTATATATTTTATGTTGT